TGTTCAGTGTTATAAGTTCCTTCCTGTCTCCATGGGCCAGAACACAATGAGCACAAATCATGATTAGCAAACCTGCTTCAGTTCAGATTTTTAGGCTCTAGTTTACTGGTGTATTGGAAAACAGAATTGGCTTTATATTTTTGATGGTCTCTGATTGCTCATGCTACTGGGCCAATTCTGTTCTTCAGTAACCCTCTTTCCCTCCATTTAGCTCACATAAGCCTTCCTTCCTTCCTTCCATCCATCCATCCACCCATCCATCATCAGTTCCTTCCTTCCTTCCTTCCTTCCTTCCACCCATCCATCTCTCTGTCCTATCTACCAACCATCCGTTCCTTCCTTCTTCTCCTGTTTTTCTAATCCAATCTTCGCTATCTATCTGATCTCCTCACCCATAAGAGCTAGAAGCTTGGAGCTTAAATCAAAAAAAGACAGGCTAGCACACAATTTTTTTTTTACCAGATCATTTTCCATTTTTCAGGGTGACATTCTTTTTCAATTTTTGAACACTTATTGATCTTTGCCTCGATGTTGCCTGTTACTTTGCAAGATGCCTCCTTATTCATTGTCCGAAGTTTTCAAATGCCGCCTTTTATTGACATTAACCTCCTCTGTATACTCGTTGTTTTCAAGGTTAAATGCTGACTTTCCTTGTTATAAGCCATCTTGTGTGCTTTTCAAGGAGAAAGGAGGAGGTAAAAATATTTTAAATAAAATAAACAAGTAAATCATCCAGCACATCGGGAACTGCCGGGTTCTCTGGCTGAGGAGCCAGAGGCTGGGTGTTCGATTCCCCCCATGAGGCTGGACTGGATGATCCTTAAAGGTCCTTACCAGATCTGCAATCCAAAGAGGGTGATGGTGATGATGATGATGATGATGATGATGACGATGATGAATTTTTCAGGGGTATAGTCTGCTCTTTCTCAAAAAGCTGTTTCTTTGGTTGTTATTATGGGCTGGCAAGTCACTTCCCACTTCCACGTGGTCCTAACCTGTCTTTGACGTTCACAGAGTGGTTTCCCGTGCCCTCCACACAATGAGTTCCCATCGCCGAGTGCAAATTTGAACCCAGACCCTCTTTGTCACCACCCTAACACTTCATTTTATTACGGATGCATTGACTTTATTATCGATAAGTTCAGTGTTCAAGTCACCTGTGGTTTATCTTTTAAAAATCCTGTAGAGCTCCTTATTCCCTGTAAAGCCTTTAAATAGAAATACAATAGGACCCCCCCAATGTCTGTGGGATCAGTAATCCACTTATCCATATTCTGAAAATATTAATTTTAAAAGAAGCATCCTAGAAATAATGTATAGATTTTTGAAGTTACCAGAACTGGCCACTTCAGGGTGCCAGAGACTGTGCTATCTATAGCATTCACTGTTATACTGTACTAATGCTGTTCACTATCATCCACGTTTCTCAGCATCCACGGGGGGACTGGGAACCGATCCTCTTTGGATATAAGGGTTCTACTCTACATTGATAGCAGCCACCCCTGATTCTTCCTCTGTTTTCTTTATCTCCTCAGCTCTGGATTCTGAGTCCTTTGGGCCCGACGACGGCCTGGAGGAAGATGAGGAAGAGGTGGAGACGAGCTTAGATGATCCAGAAAACGAGGCTGCGGGGAAATTCGTCCCTGGGCCACGGGGCTGTTGCATCCTGACGCGGCGCGGGATCACTCTGCGCGTGCTCCTCAAGGATGGGCTGATCGAACCCGGAGAAGGCGTCCTGTCTATTTACTACCTGGTAAGATGTCCTGTCGGGTCCTTTGAGTTTTCAGCTGGTCCTGTGGTCTGCGGGGATGATGGGACACAGAACACCCCGTTCCCCAGTCCTGTCTGTGTGGGGATGATGGGACACACAATATCCCTGTTCCCCGGTCCTGTCTCTGTGGGGATGATGGGACACAGAACACCCCTGTCCTCGGCAAAGCAGATGACATGTTGTGTCATTTTCAAAGACAGTTTTTTTTTCTTTTATTATTTTTCAATATTTTCAGACCACTGAAAAGTGGAACTGCGGATATTGATCCTGTGGATACGGGGGTGGGTGGGTACTGCATTTAAAGCTAAAAAGCCATGAACATCAATGTACAATCGTGGGGGGGGGGGGAGGTCGACTGGTCAGACCACTGAAAAGTGGAACTGCGGATATTGATCCTGTGGATACGGGGGTGGGTGGGTACTGCACTTAAAGCTAAAAAACCATGAACATCGGTGTACAATCATGGGGGGGGGAAGGTCGACGAGAAATGACACGGGTCCAAAGCAGGATGCGACCAGGTTAGCGAGGGACCGTCTCATCTCTCAAGGGTATGAGTTCTGAGTACTCCATGTCCCATCATTCCCAGTTTTCTTTCTCTCTCTCTCTCTCTCTGTCACCTCCCCAGGGAAAGAAGTTTATAGGGGACCTGCTGATGGACGGCAAGATCGTCTGGCAGGAGACCGGCCAGATCTTCAACTCGCCCAGCGCCTGGGCCACCTACTGCAAGAAGCTGGTCAACCCAGCGAAAAAGTCAGGCTGCGGATGGGCGTCCGTCAAGTACAAAGGCCAGAAGCTGGACCAGTACAAGGCCGTCTGGCTGAAGAAGTACCAGCCCAACGCTCCCCCTGCGGAGGAGGCGAGTCTTCTCTTCCCTCCCTCTCTTGAATTGGAATCCTGCAGGAGAGTTGGCCTTTGGGAGAGGGCTTTCTGTATATGCTCAAGGGTCGTCTTTTTTTAAAAAAACAATCATTTGCTAGGCACGTTCTGGGGCTTGGAAGCCGAGGCTGTGGGGTTACCTGAAAGGATCGTGTGGGGAAAGATGCCCTTTTAAAAAAATCTGGGAAAAGATGTGAAGAGAATGTTTGCGGGAGCCTCGGGAAATGTCCTCGGGAGCCTTGGGAAATGTCCGCGGGAGCCTCGGGAAATGTCCTCGGGAGCCTTGGGAAATGTCCTCGGGAGCCTTGGGAAACGGCCTATGGGAATCTCAGGAAATTGTCCACGGGGGCCATGCGAAAGGTCCATCTGAGCGTTGGCAACCCCTCTCACTCCATGGCTGACATTCGGGGAGAGGAGCCCAGGGCCCGTTCCTTAAAATCAGAACAGCCTCCAAAAGATTGCAAACCTTTCAATCGATGAGTTTGGCCTTGGATCTCTTTTTTTCTAGAACTTGGTGAGCGAAGGAGAAGAAGACGAATTAGTGGAGGACGAGGAGGACGACCCAAAAGGGGTTAAGCCGGCGCTCCCGGACTCCATGCTGGTGAAGAAACTGGAAGAAAAGACCCGGAAACAACAAGGCAGAAGCTTCACAGACCCCCACAGCGCCGGTAAATGCATAAGACCCCGGGGTCAGACAGGACACCGAGTCTGAAACTGGGCATGCAAACAGAATTAAGTTCAATTTTTTTAAAGCTTTGACCTCAGATGTTCCGTGAGCCTCATCACCAGCTATTATTTGTGACCTGTTCTGTTTCTACCCTTTTGTTCTTCCAAGTTCATACATGGCGTGCTTCTGTTAGCTCTTCACAACAGCCCAGCCGAGAGCCTGTGACTGGCCCAAGACGGCCTAGAGAGCTTCGGGGTTGAGCACAGACTTGAACCCAGGTCTCGTGTCCGACATTTGGACCCCACTATGAGTGACAACCGTGATACAGTAGGGCCTCCTTATTCATGGGATCAATATCTACTGATCCACAATCTGAAAATAATAAAAATATTAAAATAAAACTAGAAATATTTATTTCTAAAGGTGAAGTTACCAGAACTGGATACTAGAGGGAGCCAGAGACCCTACACTATGAAAATAATGTTTGCTGTAATCCACGTTTTTCAGCATCCGCGGGGCAGCAGTTTGGAACTGATTTCCCGCTGATGGGGGGTTGTACTATAATTCAGCGTTGTCTGTTCCTGATCTATTTCTCTGATTCAGTCCGGCAAAGCTAGGACAGGGAATTAGGAGCAAGTGTTGAATCGAAGGATAAATAAGAATATTACGTAGCACACAAGACGTCTATTTCCTAGCAAATGCTTGGTTTCTTTTTTTTTATCTTTCCAGATAACAGCAAGAGACTGGACTGCCGGAACAGAGTCCCGGTTCGTTACTGTAATTTGGGAAGCCGAGATTCTGCAAGGTAGGAAGAGGATGGTGGATGATGATATTCGAACCATGTCCGTACGCAGGACCCCAGCGTCGTCGGACTTTTTTCTCCATGTTGGTGACGCCCACTCACTGGCACTGAGAAACCTCTGATTTTGGAGAGGAAATGGCGCTGTCATGACCAAAACCTATGGACCATTTTATTCTTCATGAATTTCCCCAGTCCGCCCCTCTAATTGGGTAGCGGTTCCTCTTCCTGGTGGCCGTGAGTTCCCTAGTCTAAGAGTGTGGTCTCCGAATCAGCCTCCTTTGTGGTAAAAGCTAAGAATCGAAGTTTCGTTAAAGATGAGATAAATTTGTTTGACTATGGAACTCTCTGCCACTGGAAGTAGAAGAGGCCAGTGGCTTAAGATGCCTTTATAAGTCATTTTATTTCAGACTTTAAAAAAAGATTCTAGTCCCTACTACAGCTACATGTTATTTAGGGCTTTCCCCCCGCCGTTGTGATTTTAGGAACCCGCACACCTTAGTGGAAGTGATGTCTTTCGCCGCCCTGAACAAATTCCAACCCTTCAATGTCGCCATTTCTAGCAACGTGCTTCTGCTCCTGGTAAGTAACTGGAATGGAATGTGGGATGGTAAAACTCTTTCCTGTAAAAAAAAAAGCAATCAAGTGCCTCTTCGAGGGAATAAACCTGTTTGCCCATTTTGGCAAAATGAGGCAGAATCTGGTGATCTCCCGGAGACTGTGTCAGACTTACAAGGGGTCATGGGGCGGATGACCCCTTCCAGTGGGCACATCTTATGCCCCCCCCCCATAATCTGTTGCTTTCTATACTTCCCCTGTCCTCTTAAAAGGCCGAAAACTCATTTAAAGCAAGCATTGGACTGATTTAAAAGCATATAGTGCAGTGTAACCTATAAGGTTCACATTGTTTTTATCTTTCTCCTGCTGCTGATACTACTGTACTTTGAATGGGGTTGCAAATAGTGTTTTGTTTTGTTTTTTTGAAAAACGGGGGTTCCACCCGCAAACCACTTTCTACATTGAACTTATGAATAGCAAAAACTTAGGGGTAATAAAAATTTATGAGTAACAAAGGCTGGCGAATAACAAAAACTTACAAATAACAAAGGCTTGTGAATTATAAAAACTTATGAACACACTTATAATGGCAAAGGCTTATGAATCGCAATGGCTTGTGAATAACAAAATTTTCCCAGTAAGTAAATAACTTAGTAACTCAAGCCGGCCTTGGTGTCGGCATTTAGATACCTAAGTTCTGGATGCAATAAAGGTCAATATTATTGGGCCACTCCTCTTTACCTTGGCTTTCCCATGTTGACCAAAGTTATAATCTCATTTTCTTGCCTTTTTACATACATATAAACCTTATTGTTTCTGTCCATAGACTTTTACAATGTACTGACTGCTGCAGCATACGAAATCCAATCCAATGCTTGTCTTTTTAGGATTTCCACAGCCACTTAACGAAAAGCGAAGTGGTGGGTTATCTCGGTGGCCGATGGGACGTCAGTACCCAACGTAAGTTCCTTTCGGGGGCAATTCTGGCTGAAAAGTCGGACCCGCAAACGAAACACAAAGAGAATGAACACTGGGGTGGGGGAGGACGGGGACTTTATCCAGAATGGATTGGTTGGACCTTTTCTCACAATTCGCACCCGCACCCCTACTCTTTCCCTCCGATTCTCTTTCAGTGCTGACAGTGCTGAGGGCTTTTCCTTGTCGGTCGCGTCTCGGAGATGGGGAGACGGCAGCCGCAGTGGAAGAAGAGGTAAGAAAATGGTGTCTAGATAGGCCCACGGGTTTCCAGAATACATATATATATATAAAATTCTCTTATTGTGCCCAAGCTGCTTTTAGATATTCTGTCGTGACTACGTGCTGTGGCCTGGCTCCCCACTTCTGAGAAACGAGTGACCTTGCAGACCCCAAGGTCGTGGTTTCCCTTATTGGATCTATCCATCTCACCTTTAGCATTCCTCTTTTCCTACTACCATTTACTTTCCCCAACTTATTATCTTTTCTGGTGCATCTTGGCTGTTCCTCATTCATCCAAAGTACGACTACAGCTTCGTGTGTCCCCCCCTCCTCCCACTCCTAAAGTATGTGCGCAGGCTGGATTTGACCTGCTCTCCAGTTATAGGCCAGTCCTTGAGATTCAGGAAGGGTGGCCCTAATTCCTCAACCTCTTCCTTAGCAGCTATAGAGCCAACCTAACCTCTGTAGAAGTAGCACCGATTCATTCATTAAATTTACAAACCAGTTACTTTGCAAACACCACCCGGTTGCCTCTCGTATTTTTAAAAGCCCACACAAAATAACAACCGACTGAAAGCAGCAGCAATGAAGAGAAGCAGGTGTTTTATTCACAAGGAAGATCTTCATTAGACGTTGCTTTTCAAAGTTTGCTTTTCAAGTTTTCTATAACTGGGTTTTACATTTCTATTGTAGTTTAATAGCTTTGAAATCTGTAATTGACCATGTTTTAGTACAGTTGGACCCCCTTATCTGCAGGATGAGTACCTGCCAATTCACTTCTTCGCACTCTGGAAATATTAAAAATAATAAAAGAAAAAAAACCTGGGAAATATATGTATATTTCTAACGATGAAGTTACCAGAATTGGCCATTAGAGGGAGCCAGAGACCATGCGATGTATAGCGTTCACTCTAATCTGCGTTTTTCAGCGTCCGCGGAGGCACTTAAAATCGATGTCCTGCGGATTCAGGGGGTGGTTTCCTACTTTATGATCCATTTTAACATTGTGGGCTTCCTCACAAGGAGAAAGGTAACCCACAAATAAAATTTAAAAAGTAAAATAAAATAAAATAGAGTTTCAGAATAATGGGAGGGCCAGTAATGACAGAAGGAAACAGCAGTAAAGAATAAGCATCTTAGATTGGCAGGGCTGGAATGGGCCCCTAGAGATCATCCAGTCCAGCCCCCTTGTGGGAAAACTGCTAGGGAACCACTGCTGGGGGCCTGTCCCAGCAGCAGTTGTAAGAAGGGAGAGATTTCTGAAAAAATACACTGCAGTCGTTTGTTTAATTACTAAGCATGCCACCGGTGATCACCAGGAAAAAATGTCTTCCAGGAAAATGTCTCCCTTCTTCACACCGAGGCTTGTCTATTTATTAAGTACTATATTAGTATAAAGATAAGATTTTGCCCAAACAGGCGTCGAGTAACTATCTTGTCTACACATTCCACACAGGCGCACAGAAGGAGTAACATTCTTGATTATGCCAAGCACCACAGAACAATACATAAATTATGCCACAAGGTAGAGCTCTAAAACTAGAAAATTCCCACACACCCCTGTCAAGGAGGCCCCCGCGGGGGTGGATTCGAACTCCCAGCTCCGCAGCTGAGCGCAAGACCTTCTTGACCGCTGACCCGGCTCGTCTTTTCTGCTTCAGATCTGCCAGAACCTCTTCCTGCGTGGGCTTTCCCTGGTGGGCTGGTACCACAGCCACCCGTTCGGCTACGCCCTCCCCTCCCTTCAGGACATCGATGCGCAGATGGATTACCAGCTGAAACTCCAAGGCTCCAGCAACAACTTCCAGCCATGCTTGGCTCTGATCTGCGGTGAGCGGGGTTGAGGAGGCGGCCCCGTTGCGTCCTGCTCCCGGGTTTTCATTCTCAAAACCCACCACGAGGTCTCGAAACTTGGTGAAGGGTGCTCGGGTTTGGACCCACAAGCGAACTGAGGGATCTTTTGCAGCCGTTTTGGGATCTGGCTTAGTGCGAGAAAGGGAAAGCCGACGATCGATGATTTCGTCGGCTGCTGTGACGGAAAGGGGGGGCGGGAGGGTCTCGGCATGGACGGTTGTAGGTCGTGTGTGCAACTCATTTGTCTCGTGTCCCGCCAGGTCCGTATTTTCATGGCAACCAAGGTGTGGAATCAAAGATCTCGCCCTTCTGGGTCATGCCCCCGCCGGAGGTAAGTTCATTAATCCCTCTCGTAGATCTTCATTGTGTCTATCTACAACCTACTACAACCGAGCGAGACTTTTTAATTAGTCCATTGTCCATTAATCGATCCATTAATTAATCCATCAATCCATTAATTAATCCATCCATCCATGGATTAATTAATGGATTCATTAATTCACCCCTGTCGTTTGGATTGCATCAGGTTGCTCGGGGAATCAAGGGGAAACTTGTCGGAGTTTTTGCAACCCTGCATGCGGCCTCTACAGGAGGTGTGGCAATGGGAGAGACTCCTCTTGGCAGGGGTAGCTGTCCGTCTCTCCAGCGTCAGCCAATCGTTCCCTCCTGCCTCTGAACTCAAAGAGAGCCCCGCCTCTCTCCTCCGCTCTTTCCCCTCTGTTCACTTTGTTGTCGAAAGCAGTCATGTTTGTCTGATTGCTGCTTGAGCTTTTCAGTTGTGATGAAACCTAGTATTCTTTCTCCGACGGATGTCTCAGAGTGAGATACCGAGACTGTAAGTGCCAGTTGATGAGGAAAAAGGAGTGGACTGGCCTGGCGAGGGGACTTGAAGCTGATTCTGCTGTGTGAATCCCTGCATTTCTGCTAGAGGAACTGAACTAGAATTCCAGACTCTGCCACAAAGCCCTCTTCAAGCTCCTAACAAGGTTGAAATATTAAACATGGACAGATAGAGTTGTTCAGTTTTCAGCAATGCAGGTAGCCGGTTCCATTGTGAAAGTTCAAGAGGTTGTGAGGCACAACTCTGGGGCAGCCTGTGGTCCTCCTAGTCTTGTTACACAAATCCTCCCCCCCCCCGAAACTGAACTCACTTCTTTTGGCAAAGAGGAGGAGGTGTGGCATACTTTGGAACTACACAGAAGCCTTCGACATCCAGGTGACGAATCCTGCCTAGGAGGCTTGCCAGTCCCAATGCAGGCAAGTGGGCGAATTTGGATCTGCTGGAAAAGGATGGCTGGAAACCACCATCTGCACTGGATCCTTGGTTCAGCAAAGCAGAATAATGGGTCTGTATGGGATAGTTAGGCAGGACAGAGAGCAAAAACAGTGTTTCGGATACCATGCCAAAGTAGGGCTCGGGAGATCTGGGTTCGAATCCCTACCTAGCAATGGAAACTTACTGGTGTGTGCATGATAGCAGTGGTTTGGGTCTCTGTCTGCGGAGCCAGAGGTGGAGAGTTCGAATCCCCTACGGCACCTCCTTTACAGGGGCTGGAATGGATGATCTAGAGGGTCCCTTCTAGTTCTGCTGATCTATTATTATTATTGTTGTTGTTGTTGTTGTTGTTGTTGTTGTTGTTGTTGTTGTTGTTGTTGTCCTCGAATTTTTTACATACCCTGTTAGAGTCCTCTTCCCACCACCATATTCTGGGATGGTTCGATGAGAATGTACACCTTGCCCAATGTCGCTCAGTCTGGCTCTTCTCCTGGGCAGCACAGCGCAGAATCAGACCCACAGCTCGTGCCTCCGCGGCCATGTGCTCCCGGCCCACCAAGCTTGCCGGCCCTTAATAACGGCATGCCCCCATTTTTTTTTTGTGGACTACGCTGTTCCATGCTTTTGCCACAAGAGGGCGCTTGGCCCATTTCTGCCCCAACCGGAGGCTCTGAGTCATGTGAAAATGGGCAAAACCGCCAGGGAGGACAGGTCTCCGTGACCTATGGCGTTTCTCACTTTCTTTCCCTCCTGCAGCAAAGACCGTATGATTACGGCATCCCCATGGAAGTGGAAGTCACCTACATTCAAGACGGATTCTTCACCAACGATATTCTCCATGAAATGGTAATTCTTGATGCCTGTCCATTTTTCAGTCGCCGGATCGCAGAACAGTTCTGTGTTGCTGCTGCACTGATGGCATCCCCCCCCCAAATGGTTTACGACCCTATTTAAAAGGACATTAAAACTGTCCCCTAAGTTTAATCCCAGAGAGCTGGAGTACCTGAGGGTGAGGACAGCGGGGGGAAACTATCCATGGAACAGAGAAATTGACCCAAATCGGGCCCTAAAGCAGTTTGGGGGGGGAAGGATAAGCCATCATCTGTTACTCATCATCTCCCGTCTCCTCTTCTAGATGCTGCTGGTGGAGTTTTACAAAGGCGCCCCCGATCTCGTCAAGTTTCAAGACACGTGGAATCAGGATCAGACCTATTTGGATAAGCTCAAGGTGAGGAATGGGGTTAGAAACCGGCTTTGGAACAAGATGGTTTGGGCTGTTTGAGGCAAACAGGTACCACTTGAACTCACTACCCGAACCCCAAGTAGGATCATCGGCCCCTCTTGCAACTACTGCACACCATCCAGCCCATGGAATTGGGGCGTGCCAAGGAACCCTTGGAAGAGCGCGTCCTGGTTGGTTACCTCCTTCTGATGTCATTGTGAGGCCCCTCCCAGTCTCATGTGACCTCAGGGAGGAATTGCCCCAGCGGGCAAGGGCCAGAGAGCGCATTGTGATTGACACCTGCCAATCACGATGCAAAAGAGACAGGCAGACCGATGGAGAAGGATGTTAAGACGACAAATCCATTTTCCCCCCTTCTTTCCTCCTCCCAATCACTTCCTTCGCAGCTGATTGATCTATCAATTATCTTTTTCAGAAAGTAACTCTCTTCTTATCCAAAAGTAACTGAAATATAATAATAGAAGCTTTCAGACAAGCAGATTTGCATTGTCTAAATCGGCTTTACGCTCTTCATATAATGCGGCTCATTCCTTTCATATTAGAATAATCCACTGTTTATTTTCAGCTTTCACATTGTGTTTTTCTTATATAAGCTGCCTCGGGCCCTTAGGAGACCGGTGGGGTAAAAACCTTTTAAACTAACTATAACTAACTAAAAGTAAAGTAACTAAAACAAACATTTGCAACCAGGAAGCTTGAAAAGCAAAAGGATCCAAAGCCATAGGGTTCCTTACCCCCCCAAGTAACTATAAAAGTAACTAAAGGGCATATATCATCATTATATTTAACCGTCAGCTTTTCAGGCTAAATAGGATGGATATTGCTTTTCACTCCAGGGCTCTTTAGCGTCCCGGATGCCAAAAGATCAAGGCTTTGGACACGTCCTGGATCAGGTGTACAGCGTCCTCAAACACCACAGCTGAAGGAAGGGATGTGGACCTGTGGGTGTCTCTCCACATGAAGCCGGGGGGACCCTGCCGGATCAGGATGGTGGAGAATTGGGTGTCCTTGAAGGGGCTGTTGTTTTGATTCTTAAAAGGACAAAAGGCGCACTAGTCTAGATTTTGGGAGTAGTTCAGGAGTGAGCTGCCTGGTCGGCCGCTTCCCCCAAAATAGAGGACCGGACGGAAGTGGGCGCAATGCAGCTGATGCTCGATTCCCCACCAGTGGCTTTCCGATGGAAGTGGAAAGGTGGATCTGAGTTGCTTTGGGCTTTCCTGCCGTTCTGGGATGGGATTTGTTCAAAAAAAGGTGCCGATTTCTCCGATGTCTGGAGGAGTGCAGTGGGTCTCTGTCTGGAACCACGAGAACTCGTGGCGGCGTCCAGACCCGAACTCAGCCCAAGGAGAGCGGTCTGGGCCAACAGATCCTACCGGGGCAGCTTTGTTTCAGGTGATATAAAATGGGACGCTTCCAGGATGAGAGGAGTGAGAGATGGGGAGAGAGAACAAGCCAAAGCCGCACAGAACGGGGTGGGAAGATTCTCCGTGGGGCGGTCTTTTAAAACCTCGGATTTGGGGCCGAAGGCCCGGCTTTGGCAAAGCAGAAAGGGAAAGATTGGGGCTCAATTATGCCTAAAAACGGGGTGAGAGGGACAGCAGGTGTGCCCAGTTAAGGACACAGAACGGAAACATGACTACCACCCATTGTGGAGGAAAAAAACCTTGGTTTTTAAAACTTTGTGCTTCTTTGTTCAAAGAAAGGGCTTTTAGGGATTCAGTCGGTTGCCCGCGAGGGTCTCCCGTGCTCTCCGAAATGGCAACCTGGGAAAGCTGATTATAAGTTCAAAGAAAGGGCTTTTAGGGATTCAGTTGGTTGCCCGCGAGGGTTTCCCGCGCTCTCCAAAATGGCAACCTGGGAAAGCTGATTATAAGCATGGCACAGAAGTGGTCAGTTCCCCCCCCCCCCAAAATCTCTCTGCCACCACCTTCCTTCTCCCCTTGGTCTTTTCCACCCCTCGTCGGCCAAGATCAACTCAATTCTGAACTCAATGTGAGGTGGATCCACTTTAGAAAGGAAGCCATGACTTTTTGAGTTTTCAAGAGCGAAGCCGGGCAGCAGAGGATGGGACTTTTTCGGAGAGCACTCCTTCACGGGGCCGTGACTTGCCATGGATGGGTTCCAGACAGGCTGCTCTCAAAAGGAGGGCGAAGAGAAGCAAAATAAACCACAATCTTAATACATTTAACAGTTTTTTTTATTTCAAGGATACAAGGTTTTGCTTTTATGCCAAAACGGAACGGGGGAAGGGAAAGAAATCCATAAACAAAAATTTTTTAATTTTTTTTAAAGAGTTTCTCCGTAAACAGTCCAGACTTTTTAAAAAAGAAGAAAAGACATTTAGTTTTTTTTTCACGCGATCAAATGGAAACAATCGGCAGGAATTATATCCCAATGCAATGGGGCTGGTTATTTACAAAGGTCTGGTCTTTCCCGGGTAACTTTTACTCGTGTGGCCCTCCTGGGAGGTATGATGATAATTAACGGGGAAGGGAAAATGGGGCTGAGGATGATAAAAAATAGAAGATCTGTGGGGTGGAGCTGCTCGGAGCCCTTGGAAACACACACACACACACACACACACAAATTAGGATCAGCAACCCAAGATATAGCTGGTCTTCACAAATTCATTCCCAGCCGGACAATACCATGGGAGTGGCATCAGAAAAAAGACAAAAGATATATGGAAAAAGAATCCATTTGGGCTACATTGAATCCGTTTGGGCTAAAACAAGAATCTGAAAGAAATATGCAGGAATTTACACGAAAGCAGCCAAGGGGGTAAAAATATAGATTTATACACGTCTTTAAAGCAGCTTGTAGGAAAATTACCGGGGAAATCCACCTTGCCTCCCCTAACCGCAGGAGGGAGGGGGGGGGAAAGGATGACTTACAAAATAAGTGGGTTGAGATATATAGGTAGATTATATAAAATATATGAATATAAATATTACAGGTGGGTCAGGGTACTGGGGAAGGGACAGGGGAAAAAAAGCAGGCCCTCGAGCTGAGAACTCAGATGAGAAAATTATCCTATCGCCAACGCGGGCAGTTTGTAAGTATTACTGGGGTTTCCCACTTGGTGTTTTCCGCAAACGTTTTATTTCTCTTAATCACCAACTTTGGGGAGCCTTGTGGGCTTGCTAAGGTCCCTGTTCTATCCTCTACCTTCCAGTTGGAATTGCGAGAGGCAGGAAAGCAAATTCGTAGCAAAGGTGCCGGCTGCATGCCCAGCCATGGGCTGGTCACGCCGCCTAGCACGAGACCAGGCGTGCGAACAAGCGCTTGGCTCCCTGATTTTAATCCGCCACTCCCGTCGATGCAATTTTCTTCAACCCAGAGTAAAATCTCAGCCAGCTTCCTACCATATCCTCTTCTTTCTTTTTTAAAGGACATTGTTCTGGCGGCTTTCTGAAAATCAGTTTTAGAGATGGAGCAAACTATGAGGTTGCCACATTTTTTTGGTGTGTGGGGGCAAATAAGGGAAGGAGGGAATGAATCCTAGCTGTGTTGACTTCCACCGCCTGCAGTGAGAAAAAGGCGTGGTGAACGCTCTTTATTTTGGAAAGGAGGAAAATACAAAATACTACCTAACGTGGCTCAACGCCTCGGTATGGATCCGCTCCCTTGGCCTGAGTCTCCTCTTCCCCCTGCGCTCATCTGCCTTCCGCCCTCCTGGGAGGTTTTAAAAGCTTTCCCCAACCCCACACCTTTGAGGCTGAATCTAGAGGAAGAGAAATTTACAGGGATCGAAAGACTTAAGTGCGAATATCCCCATCAGCTGTTAACACGCCTACTCTTGTGGGTTTATACCTGAAATGCAGCCGTCTTCATTTTAGGAAATGGGCAACGGATGGTTTTCAGGCTCCTTGGGAGAACGGGACTCTAGCGAGGAGGCTAAGGAGCCGGTTTGAAAACCTACCTGAATGTAGAAAGCTAGCACCTCCGGGGGGGGGGGCGCAGGGGAATCAGGCGTCAGGCTCATGAAGTGTGACTTTCTCTCTACCTTCACAACCAACTGGATCCAGGCTTTCTTCACCACCTGGTTGCGATCGGATCCACCTGTTCCACGCGTTTACTCACGGGTGTGTTTCTGGGAGCGCCCAGGTTTGGAGAGAGCTAGCCTCTCGCCAGAGCTGTGTTTGCCGGCTCGATGTGCAAAAAGCAATCCCGCCCTCTTAGCAAACGGGTGGAGAAGCAGCTGGCCGGGGTTTCAGTGTTCTTTTGTGCACTTACACTTTTGCACCTAATACAGGCTATGCCTCAAACTGACCCGTTACGCTTCAGAAACCGAGGCAAATAAAATTAAAATAAAACTTAGCTCGTAGCTAACAGCCATGGCTGTTTTCCTCCGGCCGAAGCCACACCAGGCAAACAGGATGAGTTGTGCTCTCAAAAAAATTTTATTTTCTAGGACAGGACGCCAGGTAGAGGTGGTAAGAGAAGGCACGCCTGGTTCGGACAAATGGCCCATCTCGAGCCGCTGTGACAACCGAGGACGGTGGATGTTCCCCAGACTTAAGTTTTAAACCCAACTGGGCATCTCTGGCCTGGACTACAAGACCCACCTGATCACGCCACGGTTTGGGCGGGACGATGGGTTGCTGAGTCTCCCCTCCGTCCTGGAGGGGCTTTGAGAGAAGGAACCAAGGGGTCAGAGAAGAGGCGGTGGGGAAAATGCCTAAGAGGCGTTACATTTTCAATAAGTGCTTTCATTTTGCATGGAGGGGGCCATCGGGCTGGAAGGCCAGCGGCCCTGTAGTGTTTTAAACGTGAGCCGACCCCTGGGGAGGGCCAGGAAAGAAAAAAAAAAGGCCAGGGGAGGCTTTAGTTTCTGACTTTGCCTCCAATTGAAAAATCCCACCACCACCACCCCCTGGCTGCAAATGGTTCCGCATCCAGGCCAGCCTGGTGTCCCCCATCTGCACACGCACACACACGACCTACAAGACCCCCTGACTAGCACAACGACAGTCCCCCCCCAAAGCTTGCAACAGAAAGAGGAAAACTGCCACGATGAAGGGGTGATGATCGGGTGTAAAAACACACCGGCCAACACACATACCCTGCTCCCTCGGGGGGTCCGGCTCAATCGTCCCCCGAGTTCAAATGCCAGGAGAGGGAGAGGAGAGAAAGAGAGAGACAGGGCAGTGAGATTTGGGGTGCACCATTCCCACCATTTGGCATCTTTTGTGCTCTGCCCCCCAGGTCCCCTCCAACCACTGGGGGGGTTCTCCCCGGTTCCTCCGTTTCTTCATTTATGCACCAATGCAAACCCAAATTTCATGCCTTGTCTGTCTTTCTCTTTTTTGCAAAAGGGGTTCCCACTCGTTCATGTTGGGCGACCCTGTGGAATGTTTGGGAAAGAGGCTCCCCCCCTCTCTTTTCAGCCCCCCGTGTCTCTGGGTGCCCGCCCAGAAGGGTGGGCGAGGAACAGGCGGGCGCCAGGAGAAGGACAGGGAGACGCTGAGAAAGAGAGAGCAAACGAGAGAACCGTTTTCACTGAGGCAGCGGGACCAGCACCTCCACGTAGTTCAGGGGGAAGAAGCCCGACTGGCCGTGGATCATGCCCTCGTACCAGTTCTCGTCGATCTGGTTGGTCAGCGTGATGACGTCGCCCTCCTTGAAGCCGAGCTCGCCGTCGTTCTCGGGCTCAAAATCGTAGAGGGCTTTGCAACACGGTTGGTCCAGGGGGGCAGCTAAGAAGGGAAGGCAAGAGACGGTCAGGGGGCTGGCTTTCTCACACACACACACATACACACACACACACACACACAGAGTCCCTCCCCGCTTCCGCAAGCCCGCCGCGTCTCCCAAACGGGGCCGCCGGCTCTGAAGGTTTCGCCAGCGGCGGCTTCCCAACCTCGGGTGCCGAGAGGTTCTCGTTGGGCTCCCAGAAATCCTGGTCGGCAACGGCTCGCGGGAGGTGTCGTCTAAAGAACCTCCAGGGACTCCAGGTTCTAGACCAGTGGATCTTTGGGCAAGAACCCCCAGAAATCCTGGTGAGCCCAGCCAGGGAGCCAAGGCGACGTCTCCCGAGATGGAAAACGAGTGGGCATCACAGGTGGAACTCCAGGCATGTCTCCGGAGAGGTCAGGTTCCCCTCTAGGAAAGAGGATCCTCCTCCTCGTAGAATGGCACAGATGGAAGGGACCCCTAAGGATCATCCAGTCCAGCCCCCCCCCAGGCCCAGTGTGTGTGGGAGAGCAGGATTTGAACACCCAACCTCGGGCTCCGCTGGTGGAGAGACCTCTATCCTGGAGCGATCCAGCAACTCAAAATGGTCAGAGGAAGGCGGAGGGGTAGGAAGGACACAGGAGGGCCGTGCGGCTTGCGGGGAGGGGGCCAGTCCAAACTGCTTAATCTCTGTCTGTCAGCAGGCCTTTCAGGCTCGTTGGCATTTTTCCTCCACAGGTACTTGTGCAATACAGAAGCTTTGAAGCTCGCATTCTGTCGACTGGGAAATTAACATTCTTGGACCCGGAGCCCCGTTGTTTTTCACCTCTTCTTTGTTCCCTGAATCAGAAGCATAAAGAATGGGTTTCTTAATGCTTTTGAAACAGTTCTTAGCCTTTTGTTTATCACAGACCCCCTTTAAATATCTTTTGTTGCTGTGGACCACCAAGACTTAACTCAAGATTGAAAATCTCAAAGTGCATCAAACATTTATTTAAAGTTTCTCATGAAGGGTCTTCAAATTTGGAGAGAAGGGAGAAATGAGTTAATCTCTTCATGCACACACTCCTATTATAATAATATTTTTATTGGAATGATTCCACACAAATTATTATTCTTGTTGTTGTTGGTGGTGGTGGTGGTCGTGGTGGTGTGTGGGTGTGTGGGTGTGATGGCTTAATGGGCAAGTTTGGAAAGAGGCCCAAGGCTGCGGGCTGCCTCACAGGGGCCCGATTGTGCCCCAGGGGAGTGTTTGTCCGCCCCTTCGGGGAACTTCCAATGGAAGAGAAGCCTTGGATGCAGGATGAAGGACCAGGTGGGACTCTGCCACCCCCTCCTGTTAACCTCTGGAAGAGCTACAGCACAGACGGGGAGTCGTGCACCATCCCTGGGCGGCTGTTTGTCCTGGCACCCCCTTCCTGCCCCAAAGTCCTGTCTGTTGAGACATGGCACGAGGCACGCAGGATGGGGCATAAAGGGTTTCGAACTGTACGGACCGCTTTTCCCGAGCCCTCGGCACCGGGGGGGGAGGAAGCAGCTGGGCCGGCTCGGATCGCTGCCCCAAACCCGTTCCTTTTTGCATAAAAGTGCCTGATGCTCAGCGTTCCCAGAAGGGTCCTTCGGTCTTTCTTGACTGGGGATTTTTGTCCCCCCCCGACGCCCGTCTGTGTGGTCCTGTCCTCCT